AATAAATGAGTACTAATTTCAGGCATTATAATATTTATTTACCATTTTTTTTCAGTGAGGATTAAATGAGCTAACCTACATCAAAGAATCTACCATGAACTTAGATACTTAATAGATTCTTAATGAGCATCACTTTTTTTCCCTTCATTCTCCAACTCTGGTAATAAGAGATAAGATAGGCAGAGGCGATAGACATGGGGCTGAAACAAGATAATTAGATTCAATATCTGACTCTGCAACAATATCCTTGTGCACATCAGAAAGCATCTTTCCTCCTAGGGTCTCAGTTTCTCCATTACCAGAGTTTGGGTGTGACACTAGATGTCCCAAAGATGCTTTAAATAACTTTAAATTAGTGACTTGGGGGCAGCCAGCCCTCAGACTGCACCTTCTGTTCAAGTTCTCCCCTGACAGATGAAAATCAACAAGTAAGTACAACAGTTGTTTCATAAGCACTTACCATGTGATAAGAAGCTCTTGTGGTATAGTAGTTCAGGCATTTGGTTGCTAACCAAAAAGTCAGTGGTTTGAACCCACTAGCTGCTCCACTGGGAGCTCTGGTAGCATAGTGGCTAAGACACTTGCCTGCTAACCAGACGGCTGGCAGTTCAAACCCACCAGCCACTCCTCGGAAGGAAGGTTGGGCAATCCTACTTCCATAGTGATACTGCCTCGGAAACCCAAGGAGGGGTCGCTATGAGTTGGGTTTGACTCAACAGCACATAACAACAACAACAACAACAGCTGCTCCACGGAAGAAAGAAGAGGTTGTTTGTTTCTGTAAAGATTTACAGCCTTGGAAACCCAGTGAGGGTCACTATGAGTAGGAATTGACTCAATGGCAGTGAGTTTGGTTTGGTTAGATTTACCGTGTGTAATTATGTTTCTGATTTTCCTCGACCTATAGGCATGTGTACTTCTATTTTACAAACAAGGAATTTAAACCTCAAAATAATTCATTACTTTCTGAAGCTTACTCACTTAGGTAGGGAAGACAGTGGGGGTTTTGAATCCAGGCCCATTTATAGGGCAACAAACTGTCCCAGTTTCCTGTGACTGAGCCATTTCCACAGGCACAGGACGTCCAGTGCTAACACTGGTGTGCTGTTGTTGCTGTGTGCCATCAAGTCATTTCTCATATTGGCCCTATAGGGCAGAGTAGAACTGCCCCACAGGGTTTTGTATACTGTAAATCCTTATAGGAGCAGCCTGCCAAGCAGATTTTTCTCTACAGAGCTGCTGGGTTGCCCTTTCAGTTAGCAGCTGAGTGCTTAACCATTGTTCCATGAGAGCTCCTTAAAATGGGTACAGGGCGAAACAGGATGGTTACCCTGTTTTCTGACTCCAAACACCTGGGCTCTTATTGGCTGTGCCATTTTGTCCCTAGAAATCTATTTGGGATATGGCATGGCTAGTGGAAAGAGCTCTAATGTGGAAACCAGTGAGAATCAGTGGTACTGGGAATCAATTCCAGCTGTTGTTTACTTACTAAATGGATTTTTTCTCAACCTCTGTTAGTCCTCTATAATATGAAAGACTGAAAATGTTGATCACTGCACTTTCACTCTAGTTTTAACTCTTAATTTCTATGAAATCTCTAAGGCGGAGAAATGTCAGGCAAAAAAGAGCCATCCATTGTCAAATCTGCATTCTCTGCTGCCCCAGCTGCCTCATTGAGCCCCTGGACTTGCCAGGCCCTGGGAGACTTAAAGAGACAGCTGTATAGGGTTCAGGGCAGAGAGTGTGTGGAGGCTGGCAGTGCAGCTGTGTGCGGTGTATGTGAAGCCCTCAATGTTTCTCCAGTTTAGGGGACACTTTGCCTGCCTCTCTTCCCATCCACCAAAGCTACCCTGGAGAGGTAAGTTAAGACTTTAGCAATTCCTCACAGAGACTATAGAACTTCATCTGTAGCTTCAAAATCCTAAAGTGATTAAGGTCGTAAGGTTTGAAGGAGAAAAGGCTGTCTTCAGAAATTTTGCTTCCACCTCTGCTCCCACATCCATAATTGTCACCAAGAGTTCTTGGTACATGAGATCTCACTGTCTTGTCCTCATTCCTTCTGCTTTAGTCAGTAGTTTCTATAAGGTACAGACTTGACTCAGAAAGGTATTTTCTGAAGCTTTTGTTTGATGTGAATGCTTCAGTTCAATTAGCTCATGTTTCAGTATTTTCATTAACAGTGAATAAAAGGCTTAGGGATAAAAAGAGAGCCTTTGGTTGAGAAATTAAAAGTGGGAAGAGACTACAGCAAATGACCAGGGACCCTTTGTTTGTTGTTAGCTGCCAACTACAGCAGAACTGCTTCATAGAGTTTTCAAGAATGTGACCTTCTAGAATCAGATTTCCAGGCCCATCTTCAGAGGTGCCTTTGGGTAAATTTGACCCTCCCACCTTTTGACTAGTAGTTGGGTGCTTAATCATGTACACCACTCAAGGACTCCAAGCCCTCAGCCCCTAGATGTCCTTTTTGATCACCACTTTCTTGGTTGTTATTTATTCAGCACAGATCTTGCAACTAAACCTGAATAGGAACTTTGAACTTTACTCTATTGTTTTTCCTGTATTATAGATGTGAAAGGATGGTATGAAGAAATTAAACAAAATCATAGCAAGTATGTGGAAACACTGAGATAGAAGTTCAGTGTTAAATGTTAGCAGTTATTTTACTTATCTGAATTCATTTTACATTTTAGAAATATGGCTCATAATACCTCTTTCCTAAGAGAGTTCAGTCAGGGCTCTACGCCCAATAACCTTGCTAAAGAATAGCATACTAAGAAAAACAGAAAATTATGGGGGAGCTCTGGTAGCATAGTGCATAAGGCATTTGACTGCTAACCAGAAGGCTGGCAGTTCAAACCCAGTAGCCATTCCTCGGAAGGAAGGTTGGGCACTCTACTTCCGTAGTGGTCCCATCTCGGAAACCCAAGGAGGGGTTGCTATGAGTCAGATCCGACTTGACAGCAGTGAGTTTTTTGGTTTATAATTTATTGAGGGAGCTCTAGTGGTACAGTGGTTAAGCATTTGGCTGCTAACCTAAATATCTACAGTTCAAAATCACCAGCTCCAAAGAAAATATATGGCAGTCTACTTCAGTAAAGATTTACAGCTTTGGGAACCCTATGGAGGCAGTTCTGCTCTGTCCTATAGGCCCTCTGTGAGTTGCAATTGATTTAGTGACAACAGGGTTATAATTTATTGGTGGGGGGAGGCATTCATCAAATAACTAAACAGATCTAAAATTCTAAAGGACAGTAAGCACCACAAAGAAAAATATGTGTGAAGGAGTGTACAACCATAAGCAGAGTAGTACTGAATGGTTAGCATAATTATAAGTTAACATGTTCCAAGGTGGTTCTGATGCTGTTATATACTATGGTAAAGATTTTTAAATTCATACCTGAATTCTTATTTCAAAAGTTAAGGGAGATCATTGGAAGCTTTTCAGTAGAAGTATATCAGGATTTGATTTATATAATAGTCAAACATTTTGGCTAGTTTGTGGAAAATGGATTAGAGAGAGGCATGACAGTAAGCCAGCAAGATGTTCCCTATAGACATCCTGGTTAAAGACACTGAGGGATGGATGGCTGTTGGAAGTGAGATGGAGAGGAAAGGATAGGGTTAAATATATACTGGAAAGGCAGTGATGGATTAAATCTGGAATGGCAAAGGATGGGAGATGTCAAGGATGCCTTATAGGTTTTCCTGGTTTACGCCCCTGGATAGATGGTGCTGGACTTTAACAAGATGAATATTGGAAAGAACAAAGATGTTGATTGACAAGGAGTTCAATTTTGTCTGTCATGTTTGTGATGCTCATGAGCTATTAAAATTGGTAGTCAAGTAAGGAGTTGGATGCTTGGGTCTGTGTAGTTAGAAGAGAGAGCTAAATTTCAGAGCCATTGACAAACAGAGGAGAGACAGGGAGGACACTATAAGAAGAAAATAATTTTGAGAATATTTGTGGTAAGTAACAAGTTGTATGTTCTAAGAGAAGTAGATGATAATTAGAAGGATATGTGGGGCAATAGTTCCCCTGCCCCCTATGGTGATAGCTCCTGAAATTGATTCTCAGTGAAGGAAGAAGTTGGTGGGGAGTGGGGCATATTTGAACCATGATAGGAGTGATCTAAACCCTTGGTTCTCAACCTTGACTGCACATTGGAATCACCTAGGGAATTTTAAAAAATACTGATTTCTTATTGCTACCCACAGAGAGTGATTTAATTGGCATGGGTATGGCCTAGACAAAGGGATTTTAAGAAGTTTCTCTTTTAATCTAACTTTCAGCAGAGCTTGAGAATCTTTGCTCTAACAGAGAGAAATAGTTATGTGAACCTATAAGAAAGAAAAGCCAAGTGCAACCAGGAGTAGAAGACCATGTGAGTCTGGGCCCTTGATGAATAAGTAGGAAGCTAAAGCAATGACAAAAGAGAGGGGAGTTGGAGTGATGCTTGAGTATAGTCAAGAGAGGAGAAGCAGTTCAGTATGTAGACAGAAAGTATTACTGCTTGCACAAGTGGGACTAGGTCAGTGGATGGAGAGTGTTAAGAGAAGAGTTCAGGGAGAGGACATTGTACCTCACTTATTGGAGATCATGGTGGCTCAAAACCAGTAGAGATCAAGGGAAAATCATTCTCTGGCATTGGAGAAAGATTTGAAACTGTAAAGGACACAAAGATTGGAAGTAAGGGATAATGTCCAAACATATATATATGTGTATATGTATGTATATGTATATGTATATGTATATGTATATAAACATTTTCTTGGGTAAAGGAGCTGTGCCCAGGATGGATCATTCAGACTGCAGAAGGCCCAAGATATAACCAATGACTGCTGACCTGCCTCTTTCTGACTCCTCCATGTGATTGGAATATAAACATCATTGTCCCTCACATCCTGAGGACAGTGACCTCTCCTGGTCTTCACATCTTCCACTGTCTGACATCCCTTCACTCTGGTTGTGTTTCCCTAAAAGCCACTCAGAGACTGTTATGGGAAGCTTTGGGACTAACATCTCGAGTGCCAACAGCTTCACATTAACAGGCTTCCCAGAGATGGGGAGCCTGGAGCACTGGCTGGGTGCCTTACTCCTGCTGCTTTATACTGTCTCCATCCTGGGAAACACACTGATTCTCTTTATCATAAAGGTGGAGCAGAGCTTGCATCAGCCAATGTACTACTTCCTGTTCCTGTTATCAGTCAATGACTTGGGTGTATCCTTTTCTACATTGCCCACTGTACTGGCTGCCCTGTGCTTTCATGCGCCAGAGACTGCATTTGATGCATGCCTCAGCCAGATGTTCTTCATTCACTTTTTCTCCTGGACAGAGTCTGGGATCCTTCTGGCTATGAGCTATGACCGATATTTTGCTATCTGTAACCCTTTACGTTATGCCACAGTGCTCACCGATACCTGTGTGGCTCACATTGGTGTGTCCATCATCACTCGAAGCTTGTGCATGGTTTTCCCACTGCCTTTCCTCCTGAAGAGACTGCCCTTCTGTAAAGCCAACATACTGACCCATGCCTACTGCCTGCATCCAGACTTGATCCGCCTGCCCTGTGGAGATACCACTATTAACAGCATGTATGGCCTATTCATTGTCATCTCTGCTTTCGGTATAGACTCAGTGCTCATTTTTCTCTCTTATGTGTTCATACTGTGCTCTGTGCTCTCTATTGCCTCCCGGGAGGAGAGGTTTAAGACACTTAACACATGTGTGTCACACATCTGTGCTTTGCTCATCTTCTATATGCCCATGGTTAGTGTGTCCATGGTTCACCGATTTGGGAAGCATGCCCCTGAGTATGTGCACAAGTTAATGTCCCTGGTCTACCTCTTTGTCCCTCCAGTGCTCAATCCAATTATCTATTCCATTAAGACTAAGGAGATCCGCAGGAGGCTACATAAGATGTTACTGGGACCCAAGCTTTGAGCAGGGAGAGACCTTCTGGACAGCCAGGTACTCTAGGAGTTTGTTGTTGTTGATGATGTTTGGGTGAGCAAAGCTAGTCTTCGGGAGAATTTCAACCTCCCTGTCAACATGGACCTACAATGGGGTACTTGACATTAGTTGTCTGATTGAGCCTGTCTATAACCCATAGCTCAAAACATCAAGCTGTCCTGCATTGTAATTAACCATGTCATACTTATTGCCGTGGAGTTGGATCTGTGTCATAGCCACCCCTCTTTGTGTTTCTGAGGTGGCATCACTATGGAAGTAATTGCACAACCTTCCTTCCAAGGAGTGGCATGTCATAGGTTACTACAAACCTCTCTGAGACCTCTCCAATTTTTTTTTTTTTTTTTTTTTTTTAGGATTCCCCTACCAGGTCCTAGTTTTCAGCATTATTTTTTTCTTTTCCCTGTGCCTGGTTGAAATTCGG